TCGAGGATCGGGGTGTCCAGGCTTTTGTTTCAGGACGCCCGCAGGGGCCTGCGTGAGCCTACGGAGGTCCCGGGGCGGAGGCCGAAACCTCCAGACCCAGGGGGCCCTGGAAGCCCCGATGCGTTTGTGGGTGTTTGTGCGGATTGTGGGCACGATTCCGCTCGCACGGCGTTGCTTGTACGAAGGACACGGGCCGCGCAAATTTGCGGAATCCGACGCGCACGTGTGTTTGTGTATAGCGATAAATATACATAGGTACATACATACATACATACATACATACATACATACATACATACATGCATGCATGCATGCATACATACATACATACATACATACGTACATACACGCATGCATACATGCATACATACATGCATGCATACATACATACATACATACACATACATGCATGCATACAGACGTACATACATACATACATACATACATACATGCATACATACATATACATATACATATACATATACATATACATATACATATACATATACATGTACATGTACATATACATACATATATATATATACATACATACATACATACATACAGACATACATACATACATACAAACAAACATACATACAAACATACATACATACATACAAACGTACATACGTACGTACATACGCACACATGTACATACGTATATACACATATCAATACATCATACATCCATACATAAATACATGCATACCTGCATGCATATACATACACACGTTTATTTATTTATGTATATATATACACACATGTGTTTCTGTGTATATATATGCACACAACGTACGGATACATAATGGCCGTTGGCCCATCCCGCCGCCGTGCTTGGGTTGTGGGTATAAAGCTTGTCGGATGTTTTGTTTGGGATTTCGTGGGAGGCTGTTTATTTTCTGTGGTCTTTGTGAGGCAATTGTGAGGTTTCCTGGAAGCCCTTGGGGGCCTTTGGGGGCCTCTTTGGGACCTCTTGGGGGCCTCTTGGCGCCTCTTGGGGCCTCCTGGGCGGGTCTCCTGGGGGGGGCCTGAGGCGGAATGCTCGGGTTTGGGGTTCGTGCCCCCTCTCTTGGAGCCTTTTCTTTTCGGGGGCCGTCTCAGGGCTTTTGTGGGCCGTTTTGGGCGCCTCTCGGGCCGTCTCGGGGCCCTCTTGGGCAGTTTTGGGGCCATCTTGGAGGCCTCCTGGGCCGTCTTGGCGCGATTTCGGGTGCCCGTCAGGACCGTCTTGGAGCGTTGTTCCTCATGGGCGCAGCACATGCGTTTGTTTCCACTTGAGGTAAGCACGTGTTGTTGCTGAACACTGACGGCTATTGGGTACAGACCCCGGGGGTCGTCATGAGCCTACGGCGTAACGACAACTAATGTGCCTTTCGCTTATCACGCGCACGGCTGTGCCAGCGGACGTCCGAAAGAAAGAACGAACGAGTACGAAGAGGCCCAAGACGGTCTGAGATGGTTCTAAAATGTCTCCAAGAGGCTGCACTGGGGCCCCAAGAGGACCCCAACACGGGCCCGCAGGCCCCCGAACACACATCCAGAGATGGCCAGGCGTGGTTCCCGCCGTGGACGGTGGTGATGATGGGGTGATGGAGGAGATGGGAAAAGATGTGGAAGAGGAGGAGGAGCCCCCCCAGACTTCAGAACGGCAACTCTCGGGAGAGAGAGAGAGAGAGAGAGAGAGAGCGAATGCGAAAGAAAGAGGGCGAGGGAGGGTCGGAGACGGAGAGGCCCGAGGACGCACGGCACGGGCAGCGGCAGCCGCAGAAGCGAGCGCTTGGGGCACCGCTCGAGGCAGAACGCACGCGCCTGCCCAGCTCAGGCAGGCGTGCGCCCCCGCCCCGCTCCCCCCCCCCCTGTGGCGCGCTGGAGAGGGCCGGGGGCGGAAAGGAGGGGGTGATGACTAGGCGGGGGGTGGATTTCATGGCGCGGGCCATGATTTTTCCTCAGATTTCGTGGCGCCTCTCCTTATTTCATTACGTCTCTGGCCCCCCCGCTGGGCCGCGCACATGCCGCCGCTCATGATCTGCACCCCCCCCCTCCTGGATACCCCCCTCCTGGCCGCCCCCGAGAGGGCACGGAGCCGCGCCGCCCCGCGCGCCCGCTCGTGCCCTCGCGCGCCCGTGCCCCCCGCCGGCGGCCCCGCGGGCACGCCCCGGCGCGGCAGCGAGCTCGTGGATGCGACGCGAGGGCGTGGCGCCCGAGCGGCCCTACAAGTCGGGGGAGGGTCGGGAGGGGGCAGAAACTTGTTTGGTCTGCGGGTCGGGAGCGGGCCCCTTCCGGTCAAGAGCTACACGGGACGCGGGTAGCCCGAAATGGGGAGACAGGGCGCGGGCGGGCGGGGCCTCAGGCGGCCGGGAGGGGACAAAAACACACAGACGCAATGAATCGTCGATTCCCAAGAAAGTATTGGAAAATATGGGAAGTGGGGGGGAAGGCAAGAATCCCCAAAAGTATGGGAAAGTACGGGGAGTCCTGTTATTTGTGTGTATTTACTTGTGTGTCCCAGGGCCTCTTCAGAGGAGAAGGCACGGTCGAGTCGCACAGCGAGGGCGCGCGACTTCTTCCCACGGCCGCCCTTTTACATCCCCTGCCCCTGTGGTCCATCCTCGGCAACTTTCGCTGGCCAGCCTCGTTCGGCAACGCCAGAGTAGCCCTCCAGGGCCCTTTGCCTCCTTACCGCGCATCCGCATCATGCGATTTCACCACCGATGCCGCTACCCTGGCCTCGTTCTTCGCCTCTTGCGGCCTCCTGGGAGGCCCTCGTCGCCACCTCTGGATACGCTTCGAAATGGTGCTCAGAGCGCGCCCAGGGAGAGGTGCGTGGAGCAGCGGTGTCGGTACGTTCTGGTCTTCCCCAGAAGGGGAGCGATCTGCAAGAGAGGCGGCCGCAGGGAGCCTGGAGGGAGGACGCACGCGCACGCAGCGCAGGCATGCCGACTCCGCCGGCACGGTGCAGAACTCGCGTGCCAAGAGCCATCGGGAGGCGGCCATTGTTCCTGGCATCGCTCGGACGTGTGCATTTTTTCTCGGCGAGAGCCATCGAGGACCATCCTGGACCTTCGAGCAACAAAACACGCACGAAACCGAAAAATGCACGGGACATGGACGTCCGAGCGATGGCAAGTGGTTTGCGCGGAGGCGTGGTCCTCTGCGTTCATCTGCCGCGGGATCCCGCTCGAGGGGCAGCGTCTCAGACGCGAACGTTCCAGCGCACGCGCACGCGCCCGTCTCGCCCGTCCCGCCCCGCCGGCCCTCCGACGCTTCGCTCACGCCGGGGCCTGGGCGCGATCTCGGGGAGACCCACGGCCCTTCCCGCGCACGGTCTCCACGGGGCGGCACCCCGGGAGGAGCCGCGCGGGGAGCCCCAGACGGCGCTTGGGTGAAGTCGGGCCTGTCCCTCTGCAGGAGGAATCTCCAAGAATAGTCCGAAAGAAGTCTGGGGACGATTGTGTTCGCAGTTGTTGTTCATGTCTGAAAATGTCTTGCGTATGTTTGTTTGTTCGCCGAGAATCGGCCTGTAGAGTGACACAAGGCTGGACCCAAACGGTGTTTTGGTGATTTCGTGGGCCGTTTTCGTTTCGATTTCATTTCGCGGTAGAAGTGGAGTGAAGACAGAACGAGGGGAAGCGATGACAAATCGACAACGATGAACATCGTTTAGGTTCAGCCTTGGGGTGACATGCCCGACCTACAGTCGGGGCGTTGACCTAAGGAACCCTAAATAAGGAACGAGGCCCCTGTCTACCAGAAGTTGAACTTCGATTTCCTATCGGAAACATAAGGAAAACCTGAGGCAAGCTGTGAAACACTCAAGGAACGCGGAGCCCCTCCCCAACGAAAAGGGTTCCTTCTTCAGGGCCCCGACTGTAGCGCTCGGGGAGGCGGAGGAGGCGGAGGGGCCGCCGGCGAGAGGCCGCGGGGCGGTGCCCCCCCCCCCGGGAGCGGGGCGTGCCCAGGGGGGCGGTGCCCGTGCTCTCTGCACGGCCGTGGGCGGGCCCGCCCGTCTCTTCGGTCGGGCTTGTCCCATGCACACGGGGCTCAGTTCGACTCCTTCGATTCGATTCGATTCGATTTCGATGGCTTCCGATTCCGATTCGGTTCGACTTGGGATTCCGATTTGGATTCCGACTTCCCACTGAGGCATCGCTACTCTGCCGATTTCTGCCGATTCGACTCCTCCCGACTTGGCTGCCGATTTCCGCCGATCCGTGTAATTTCGATCGCCGATTCTGCTTAACGATTCGATTCTGGGCTCTCCTGTGCACAGGAGGAGCATTCAGAAATGGCCAAAAGGTAGTCCGGCGGCGATGTCTTGAGCATGTTTTACTATTTGGAGGCATACTGGGGGTATTTTCATTTTTTCACCCGAAATCCGCATATGTCGAGGGACACGCCCGACTTAACCCGTCTCGTGGATGCCAGCCGTGGTCAGCGTCTTCCCGGTGCTGCCATCGTTGGCCAGCGTGTCCCATGTTTTAGGTGCCCCTAAGCGGGGTGGTGACCACACCGTGTGGTGAGCCGGTGGGGATGCGGGGCCACCGCACGGTGTTAGGACTCGAGTCCCTCTCCGAGGAGGTCTCGGGCGACAGGGGCCTCCGAGGTCCCAAAACCGTGCGGTGAGGTCTTGGGGGATTTTGAGGTCACCGCACGGTCTGTAACCGCACCGTTTCGGGACTCCAAGCCGCCGCCCGTTTTTCCCGCCCTGGTCACTTCCACATGCACTGGGATTCCGAGCAGCTCGTGCACGCCAGCATGTCTGCCCGCATACCGGAAGCGAAATTGTCGCTGTTGGAAGCCTTCCAGGAACCATTACAATCGTTTGGTGCACTCATTACCCCACAGGCGTCGGGCATACAAGTACCACATCCAGGGAGACGAATGAGTTCGTTAGTTGGGGGTTGTTACGCACTCCCCGTACCTCAACGCAGGTCGCTCGTCATCGGAGAGAGAGGAATTTCGTTGGTTGACGTGTCCATTCATTTTTCGGCTCAAACTCAGAAATCGACTGGGCCGCTGCATCACAATATGGTAACGAATGTGTTTCTGTGACTACCACAGCACCCATGCTCTCAATTGTCATTGTTTTGGCGGCGTGGATCTGTAATGTATCGGCTTCCAGCAGTATCATAATGAGCAGCACTAACGCAACAAACAGCATCAGTGTGTCAGATACGGCGGGAACCAGCTCTGATGTAACCCTCAGCGCAACGGTGTCCGACACGACGGGAACCAGCAGTACCAGTCGCAGCAGCCTCAGCGTAACCGGCAGCACCACTGTCACCAGCACAACGAGAACCAGCAGCAGTAGCACTAGCGCTACCAACGCCATCATTATGGCCAGGACCATGGGAATAAGCGGTGCTCCCCGCAGCACCAACAGCGCAACCAGCAGCACCAGATCGACCCTGGAGCCCGCCTCAGCCCTCAGGCTCCAGAGCCGGTCAGCTACGCCCGCCCCGCCGCCGACGCCAACGCCTCAGCACATGTGGGGGACCATTGTCGGCCAGTGCACGCTAGACGGTATGTGTGTGCAGAGCGCGAATTATCCGCTGAATTATGGTGCAGATGAGGCGTGCACGGTCGAGATTGATTTGGGGAATGCAGTGCCGATCTTTGTGGAGAGCTTCAATGTAGAATCATTTTTCGATTCTCTAGTTATCAACGGAGTTGCATATTCTGGAAGTTTGCGCCCCGATGGGGTCACGCCGACGGAAAGCATGGTGTGGGCGTCAGACTTTCTAGGATTCAGCGGCGGTTGGAGATTGTGCATGCCGGCGCCCACACCTGCACCGGCACCTACTCCCCCTCCAACGCACGCCCCGCCGCCGACACCAGTTCCTGAGCACATGATGTGGGGGGCCATTGGTGGCCAATGTTCATTGGACGGTATGTGTGTGCAGAGCGCGAATTACCCACAGAATTACACTGCAAGCGAGGCGTGCACGGTCGAGATCGATGTGGGGAACGCAGTGCCGATCTTCGTGGAGACATTCGATGTAGAGTCGTATTTCGACAAACTCATTGTCAACGGTGTTGCATATTCTGGAGTCTCGCGTCCCGATGGGGTCACCCCAACGGAGGATATCACATGGTCTTCGGACGAGGTGGGGCAGAGCAGCGGGTGGAGAGTGTGCATACCGGCGCCAACACCTGAACCGCCACCGACGCCAGTGCCTGAGCACATGTGGAAGGCCATAGTCGGCCAGTGCACGCTAGACGGGATTTGTGTGCAGAGTCCGAATTATCCGCAGAACTACGGTGCAGACGAGGCGTGCACGATTGAGGTCCACGTGGGGATCGCAGTGCCGATCATCGTGGAGAGTTTCGGTGTAGAAGCATACTTCGACTACCTCACAGTCAACGGGGTTCAATATACTGGAACTTCGGGTCCGGATGGGGTCACCCCGACTGAGAGCATAACATGGTCAGCAGATTACGAGGGGCAAAGCAATGGGTGGAGATTGTGCGTGCCGCCGCCAACACCTGCGCCCCCTCCAACGCCTGCCCCGCCGCCGACGCCAGTGCTTGAAAACATGTGGGGCGCCATTGTCGGCCAGTGCACGCTAGACGGCAATTGCGTGGAGAGCGCGAATTATCCGCAGAATTACGGTGCAAGCGAGGCGTGCACGGTCGAGATCGATGTGGGGAACGCAGTGCCGATCTTCGTGGAGACATTCGATGTAGAGTCGTATTTCGACAAACTCATTGTCAACGGTGTTGCATATTCTGGAGTCTCGCGTCCCGATGGGGTCACCCCAACGGAGGATATCACATGGTCTTCGGACGAGGTGGGGCAGAGCAGCGGGTGGAGAGTGTGCATACCGGCGCCAACACCTGAACCGCCGCCGCCTGAGCACATGTGGAAGGCCATAGTCGGCCAGTGCACGCTAGACGGGATTTGTGTGCAAAGTCCGAATTATCCGCAGAACTACGATGCAGACGAGGCGTGCACGATTGAGGTCCACGTGGGGATCGCAGTGCCGATCATCGTGGAGAGTTTCGGTGTAGAAGCGTACTTCGACTACCTCACAGTCAACGGGGTTCAATATACTGGAACTTCGGGTCCCGATGGGGTCACCCCGACTGAGAGCATAGCATGGTCAGCAGATTACGCGGGGCAAAGCAATGGGTGGAGATTGTGCGTGCCGCCGCCAACACCTGCGCCGCCAACACCTGCGCCGCCGACAGTTCCACCGCCTCCTCCAACGCCTGCCCCGCCGCCGACACCACCGATCGAGTACATGTGGGGGTCCATTCACGGCCAGTGCACGCTGGACGGGATTTGTGTGCAAAGTTGGAACTATCCGCAGAATTATGGAACAAACGAGGCGTGCACGGTCGAGATCGATTTGGGGAACGCAGTGCCGATCATTGTGGAGAGTTTCGATGTAGAAGCGTATTTCGACAAACTCATTGTCAACGGCGCTGAATATTGGGGAACATCGGGTCCCGATGGGGTCACCCCAACGGAGGATATCACATGGTCTTCGGACGGGGAGGGGCAGAGCAGTGGGTGGAGATTGTGCATGTCAGCGCAAACACCTACGCCAGTGCCGACGCCAACGCCTGAGCACATGTGGGGGGACATCTCCGGCCAGTGCACGCTGAGCGGCATTTGTGTGCAGAGTGCGAATTATCCGCAGAACTACGGTGCAGACGAGGCGTGCACGATTGAGATCCTCTTGGAAAACGCAGCACCGATCCTCGTGGAGAGTTTCGACGTAGAGCAGTTTTTCGACTACCTCACAGTCAACGGGGTTCAATATTCCGGAACTTCGGGTCCGGATGGGGTCACCCCGACTGAGAGCATAACATGGTCAGCAGATTACGAGGGGCAAAGCAATGGGTGGAGAGTGTGCGTGCTATGGTCGACGCCCGCACCGCCACTCACCCCAGTTCGACCGACTAAGCCTGGTCAGTGATATTGCTCGGGCAACGGGGAAAGCGGGGACAAACAGTATTGCCGACGTTGCCTCGTGATGCATTGCCTTCTATTGTTACGGGATGTGCCCGCCTTTCTTGTGGGCTCCTTATTAGGATCCCCAAGGAACCGGGTAGGATATGAAGAGACCCATAGCGAGACACAGGGATCCAGAGAATTTGTAGGAGCCCATCGGAGGAACCCACAGGAGCCGATGGGAACCCGTAGAAATCCCGAAGGACCCATGAGATGAAAGTCCATGTGAACCCATCATATCCCACATACACATAGGAGCCCATAAGGACCGCATGAATCCGTAATACTTTGTAGGAATCATATCAGCCCGTAGCCGTTCGCGATTATTTCTTTTTGTGCATCCTGGCCTCGTTGCTTGTTTGATTCCTTGCTTCCTGCTTCCGCGTTGCTTTGCTCCATTACGTGTTTGCTCGATTCATGTACGCTTACTTATTCATGTGTTCCCATGGATGTCACGTGTGCTTGCTTGTTCGCAGCACTACATTCATGCTTGCGTGCTTGCTCCCTCATACTCAGAGGTGCGTTTCCTATATGGATTGATTTCGTGCGTTCTTATTTGGTTACATGATCCTTGACTTGCGCAAGCGCAGTGTTGCTTCTACGCGTGCGACATGGCTTGTGCGGTTCCTTGTTTGTTTGATGTGTTGTTCCAGTGCTTCATTACGTGCCGAACTAGGTATCGATTGGCTGGTTGTGTTCTTCAGAATTCCATTGTTGCGTCCCCTGGTGTTTGCATATTTGTTGCATTGCTCGTTTGCGTCCGTGCGGTATTGATTAGTTAAGTCATTGCATGTGTTTTTGCTTTAGACTGTACGTGTTTACTCGCTGAACGCATGCCCCCTTGCGTGCTTATATTGCTCCTTCCTTTCACGTCTTGTCTTTGTGAGTATGTGGTTGCTCGGTTTTTTGTCGACGTGTTTGGTTAGTGTACTTAGTTGCGCCAGTGCCAGGAACAGGCAGCAACAACGAGCACGCAACATGAGGGACACCAAGAGCAGACAGCAATTACATACACCAAAAACGACGTACCCCAGCAACAATCATCAATCATTCCCCAATCAGAGCTTGCCTCTGTAGGGGTCCTAGCGGATATAAAGCTGAGGTGAGGTGGGCGGCCGATTTCGGTGGCCGGGGCCGGGTGCCCGGGTGCCCGGGGGTTCCCGGGGGTGCCCGGGTGCCGAGGTGTGTGGCCGATTTCGGTGGCCGGGTGCCCGGGGGTGCCCGGGTGCCCAGGGGTACCCGGGTGCCCGGGGTGCCCAGAAGTGCCCGGGGGTGCCTAGCCCAATAGCCCTATATCCTTATAGCCCAATAGCCCAATCGCCATATATCCCTATGGCACTATAACCCTATAGCCCTATAGCCGTACCTATACGACCACCCTTCGGGTGATAAGGAGGTTCGGGGGGGAACCAACGTCTCACTCGATCGGTCTCGCTATCGATCTCAGTATCGATCTCACTATGGTTCTCGCTCGATCGATCTCACTCGATCGATCTCACAATCGATCTCACTCGATCTATCTCATTCGATCGATCTCACAATTGATCTCACAATCGATCTCGCAATCGATCACACAATCGATCTCGCATTCGATCTCAATATCGATCTCACTATCGATATCTCAATCGCTCTCACAATCAACGTCATCATCATCATCATCATCGTTCTCATCAACATCATCAACATCAACATCATCACCAACATCGTCATCATCATGAGGGCACCGTCATCATCATCATCATCACCATCATCATCATCATAAACATCATCATCAGCATCATCATCGGGACAAAATCATCATCACCATCATCGTCTCATCATCAACATCATCATCATCGGGGCACAGTCATCGTCATCATCATCAGCAGCACCATCAGAATCATCATCATAATTTGGACACCATCATGATCACCATCATTCTCATCATCAACATTATCATCAACATCGTCGTCATCCTCGGGACACCATCATCGTCATGATCATCGCATCATCATCGACATCATCATCAACAACATCATCATCATCATTGGGGCACCATCATCATCATGAACAACACCATCATCAATATCGTCATTATCATTATTATTGTCATCATAGGGACACCATCAGCATCACCATCATCATCATCAGCATCATCATCGGGACACCATAATCATCATCAACATCATCATCAACATCATTATCGCTGGGGCACCACTTCCATCAACATCATCATCACCAACATCGGAATCATCATCATTATCATCATCGGGACACCATCATCGTCATCATCATCAACATAATCATCAGGCGCATCATCATCCTCATCATCGGGACACCATCATCATCATCGACACCATCATCAACATCATCATCATCTTCATCGGGACACCATCATCATCATCTCATCATCATCACCATCATCCGTAGCCATTTTGGCTCAAGTTGGAACCATTGCTCCGTGGCTCCAGCTTGGGAGCAGCCGAGGAGCAGCTCGAGGGTCTTGGCAGACAGGCTGCCTGCGCTCTCGCCCGCCCACCCACTGAGTGCATACCCTCTCTGCCCCTCTTCAGATCTGACCGCCATGGCGGCCGATATGGTTGCGATCCAAGCTATGTTTCAGGCCATGTTTGACACCCAGTTTGCCAAGATCGAGAAATCGATCGATGATAAGGTCGCGGGTCTTGCTGCCACTGTTGGAGAACAAAGTCAGATGATGAAAGAGATCACCGACCGCCTCGAGAAGTCAGAGAATCGTCTCAATGCCTTGGAACAGATGGCTCAGGTGAATGCTCGTTTGCCCCCTCTTGTTCACAGTCAAGGAGGTAAGCGCCGCGCAGTTGACAGCTCCATCGGCGAGGGGTCCACCACAGGAGGGAGTGCAGGAGGAGGATCGTTTCTGGAGGATGCCCACCGTCTGCTCATCCTTGGGTTCCAAGATCGGTTGATGGCCACTTCTCTCGAACGGGTTGCTAAGGACATCATCTCTAAGTGTGCGACAGAGCAGGCCGCCAGTCTCATTCGGATCCGTGCTTTAACCTCCAGGAGAAAGTTACCCTGGACTTCCCTACCCCCGCCATGGCTTCGGACTTCCAGATGAATTTCAGGAAGCTGAGTGAGAGTTACAGTATGGTTAACCCACGGAACCAGCAGGATGTTTGGCCTCTGCGTGTTCGTCGTAACCTGTCTCCCCAGCATCGGCTTCTCTTCTTCAAGATGGGGAAGGTACGGGGCGCGGTCCAGGAAGAGCTTTCCAAGGTTGGGTTGCAGGCCAACTCCAATGGAATCGGCGGGGATGTATTCGGCCTTCGCTCGCGTGAAGATCCCGTTCCTCTCTTCCGCCTCACTTGCTGCCCCAAGAACTCGGATGTGATCCACATCAGCCCAGATGAAGCAGGTCTTAGTGCTCTTGGACTGAACGCTCCTGAGATCCGCGCGAAATTCGAGGCTGCGTTCGCTACTGAGCTCACGCGTCCCTTTTGAAGTTGAATCTGACTGGTTAGGTCGCCCTGGGGACCAAATTTTTCTGCTCCCCCCAGGGACCTCCAGGAACTTCTTGGCGGGTGCCCGTCGCGCCCGTGAAGGCAGGATTGAGTTTAATATTTCCTCCAGTTTTGATGCCAGTAGCTCGAGCAGTTCCGATTCCGACTCGAGCTCCTCTTCGCCCAGTGGGGGTCTGCCCGCTGAATCGTTGCCCCCCATTTTCCCCGCCTCCCTCTTGCCCTCTGTCTTTGCTCACTTGGAACTCTAGGGGACCCTTCGCTTCCATTCACCACTCCACTCTGCGGGCCTCTCGTCGGCACAAGCAGCTTCTGGGATTGTCTCGGCGTTCCAGTATTTTGTGTGTGCAAGAGACCCATGGCACAGCTGGTGATGCAGCAGCACTCCAGGCAGATCTGCAAGGTTGGTCGATTGGATTCCCAGGGCATACCTCTGACATTGCTGGCGGTGTGATGGCGCTGTTCTCTCCTGCTCTCTGCGCTCTCTTCACGGACATTCGACAGTTCAGTATTGATGAAGGCCGTATCCTTGTCTATAAATGCAACGGTCGACGGGGTGCTCTCTGGGTCCTGAATGTGCACCTGCCTACCTCGGGGGAGCCTATGTGGGCATTTCGGAGGCCTCTGAGGCTTATTCGGAACGCTCTGGGGACTCCTGACGCTCTGGTTATGATTGGTGGGGACTTCAATTTCGCCCTCGAGGAGGATGGCCGCCAGTGCGGAGATGGATCGGGGTGGAGGCCTGGAGATCCATATAGGCATGCTATGTTCCACTCTTTCTTCCCTCGTTGGACTGAGGTCCACCGGCCAGATCCTACCCGTCGTGAGATTGTCAGTGGGGAAATTTGCCACGTGAGCCGACTTGACCGTCTATATCTTGCCTCTCCTACTGCTGTTCTCTCTGATCTCTCCATCGCGTGCTCGGTTATTGGCAAAGCCACGACTACGCAGAATGTCTCTGACCACATACCTGTACTGGCCACGTTTCGGAAATACCAGCCTTCTGAGAATCCCTCTACCCCACCGTGGATTGGGAAGCACCCGCGGTTTCATGTTGAGCTTGAAGCCCTCCTGTGCGAAATGGATCGGACTGCCCACATTAATGATCAGGTTGCCGTGGTCAAGAGGTGTATGTTTGAGGCCTGCAAGCGGACACGTCACTTCCTCCCCCATCAAGTCGCTCGGACTGCAGATGAGAAGATTCATTGTTCATTGGCTGCGTTGAGGGGTCTTCGTGCACGGCATGCACAGCGAGTCTCCTCTGCCATTTCTTGCTACTCTCACCTGCCCCGCTTCTTCGTCATCGACCCTTTCACCTGTTGGAATATTCCTGCGCTTTGCGATCACATCCAGTCGCCCCAGAACCTTCGGCTAACGGAGTTAGAGCAGGAAGCTGACAAAGAGACTGATTTGGAGATTAAGGCTCGGCTGCGTTCCAGGATACAAAGGCGTCGCGAGCTCTGGAGGCCTCTT